TTACTTTGAATTGAAATTACCTGCTCCTGATTCATTTAACTGGAGCTAAAGACGACTGAAAACAGTTTCCGCATGCAATTAATACTTACCTTAATACATTTCGTCCGGTGTTATAAAATAATTCACCGTTTCTTAGAGCGTTTGCTCCGACACGGCTGGTGTTTTTATCTAGGTCCCGGATTTGGCTGACTGAGTGGCTTTTACTCAGTTTGCCATTTTCGTTTACTCAGATTTTGCCAACCTAATGCATCAGACGAAATTGAGTACGATCGAGTCACCCGGTGAGTAAGCTAATGTAAGCGTGCACTCATATGTGGCACGATTCAAAGCTTTGTAGATTTTGTGTCATCGTAGTTTATTGCTATTGTTATTGAAAATTATGCCTTCTCTCATGAAACAGGTCTTAGAGGGCATCAAAAATACACGATTTTACTTAAATTGCGTCACCAAGAAAAGTGAAATCATTTTCAAGAAGACTAATGCTGCGCATACACTTGTACGGCAAACTATGCGCAACATTAACAAGAGCATTTTTTGTATAATAAAATATGAGCACATTCATGGTCACACTTGTATAGTTTTTGTATAGCGCTTATCATTATTATACAAAAGAATGCTTATGTTCATAGTTTGTCATACAAGTATTCGCGATATAATAATGTTATATTCATCAAGTTACTTGTACGTTTGATCTGTAAAAAATAAATCGCTGGGTTCGTCCGGGATTTGAACCCGGGACCTCTCGCACCCTAAGCGAAAATCATACCCCTAGACCAACGAACCCGTTGAAGATGCAGTGAAGAGTGTACGTTCCAAAATAACAATATACCTTAAGGAGCATATCGATCATCAACTTTCTTTGGCAGCAATTTTTGTGAGTCAATACAAAGGTGAATCTGTGGTAATGTACTGCTGTTCATCGCAAGTCGGTCCCATTTGCGTGAGAGTGATACTATCAGCAGATAATGTATCAATGATGGTATTGTTATTATCCATGCCTATTCTTTGAGATAAGGTTCGTGATATTATCATTATCAATTAGAAGGCGCATAATATATTGATTACCATTTTGGGAGCCCTGTTGCATCCCCTTATCATCTTATATTATCATGCATACCGAAAACCTTGTCATAGTGCAAAAAAATGGTTTGTATCAGAAAAGAATCAGCCAAACTACTACAACGAACCATACAATACATATGGGTTAGACCTGTTCATTTTAACAGAAGTGTTCGGGATGCACCGGGTCAACCGTGATTACTTTTCGTCATGTTAATTTGAACTTCTGTGCAAGTTTTCAGCAAAATCGGTGATGATTTAGAGGTGCTTCAAGTTAATTTATGTTTAAAAGGTAATTTACGGCTTATAATATTTGTATCTCGAGACTGAAACAACGAAAACTGCTGTAACTACTTTACTAGCAAAGCTTAATGTGTTATCTACCAACTTTGTGACCAAAGGTTGACTATTCAAAGTTATTTTATTGAAGTTTGACTTAGTTTCATGCTCGAAGATATCTTGAAAAGTGAAGAATTTTAAAGTATTTGTTCTACGAACTTTTCATCCATATGATATAAAAATGTGTAGTTTACGGCATAATGTTCTTTATACTGTTCTAAAAATTTTGTTCAAACATAGTTTTCGTGTAGAGTTGTAGCTGAGAAAATTTTCTATAAGAATGGCTCTCGAACTGTTTTGCAGTTCAATATGGAAAAAGACTAGAAGGCAATGAACAACAATTATTATTATTATCTCTATTTAGGAGATTTTCAGCCGCAAATGAACAACAAGTTGAGAAAGTAAGTAGTAGTAATTTACATGTAAACTTCAAATGGCTTGTGCGAAGTCTGTTTCTAACCAAATAAGTTGTAACTTTGGGAAGCTAATCAGGACCCGATTTGAAACCATTTAAGCACTGTGGAGCGAAAAAGTCAAATTTAGCATCAGTCTAGTAATTACGTTTGACCAGGTGGCATCCCGAACACCTCTGTTAAAATGAACAGGTCTAATATGGGTATTAGGGTGGGTCATTGTGAACATTTTTAAGAGCAAGGCTTTTTTGGTTCCATTTGGGGTCCCAACCAGCTGTGCAACATTTGGGGACGATTGGCTGTTGCCGAAGAAAGCTTGATGCTAGAATGCCTTTAAAAAACTTATAACTGCACGGAGAACAAATTCGTTAAGTTACTATAACAATCCTAATAGTTACTTTTACATGGAAACCTATAGTTATTCCAACATTAATTTGACCGTCAACTCAATCATATGTACCTAATAGATTCAACTGTTCATCTTATACTCAATTCAACTATAACTTTGATCAATTATAACAACCGTCAAATGTAATTTATTTATATAATTCGGTTTCAATTGATCATCATAAATCCACTTACTTTTAACTTGTGATGCGTAGAGCAGGCGATAAGATAGCTGGCTCTCACGCAGATGAAGACGGTTCAAATCTAAGTTGAATGTTCTTGTTCCCTTTTTTATGATATTGCAGTTGTGTTTTTGAGATCGATAAAGAAACAAAACAAAATTCCTTAATATGTCGATAATGAAGAGCAGCTCATTTTATAAACATTGTAAAATTTTGCTTTCCTAACAATAGTTTTCTTGAATCAACTAAAGCATAGTTGTATTTTGAAGTTTGACGTTTGTTCATCTACTGAAAAATATAGTTGAGCCAACCGAGGAGCCAACTATGAACTATAGCTGTTGCTCTCTATATATACTATAGTTTCGGGTTATCTCTAAAACAATTGAAAAATATAGTTATTTTGACCGGAAAATTAATTACGTCTGCTATAATTTGTTCTCCGTGTGTTCAAAGATCGATGTATCGATCTCTTTTCCTGCCAACACTGCCAGTGTACCAGTGAAAGTCAGATTCCAAACTAAAATAGCTTCTTATCTTATCGATTTGGTATGTTCAGATGTTTTTTTTTCATAAACAATTACTCAATCTCATATGCGTAGTAACGGGGCTTGCTGTATGAATATACACGGAGAACAAATTATAGCAGACGTAATTAATTTTCCGGTCAAAATAACTATATTTTTCAATTGTTTTAGAGATAACCCGAAACTATAGTTGATTTGACTATATATAGAGAGAAACAACTATAGTTCATAGTTGGCTCCTCGGTTGGCTCAACTATATTTTTCAGTAGATGAACAAACGTCAAACTTCAAAATACAACTATGCTTTAGTTGATTCAAGAAAACTATTGTTAGGAAAGCAAAATTTTACAATGTTTATAAAATGAGCTGCTCTTCATTATCGACATATTAAGGAATTTTGTTTTGTTTCTTTAACGATCTCAAAAACACAACTGCAATATCATAAAAAAGTGAACAAGAACATTCAACTTAGATTTGAACCGTGTTCATCTGCGTGAGAGCCAGCTATCTTATCGCCTGCTCTACGCATCACAAATTAAAAGTATGTGGATTTATGATGATCAATTGAAACCGAATTATATAAATAAATTACATTTGACGGTTGTTATAATTGATCAAAGTTATAGTTGAATTGAGTATAAGATGAACAGTTGAATCTATTAGGTACATATGATTGAGTTGACGGTCAAATTAATGTTGGAATAACTATAGGTTTCCATGTAAAAGTAACTATTAGGATTGTTATAGTAACTTAACGAGTTTGTTCTCCGTGAGAAGTTGAAAATGAGTCAAACGTTTTTCAACTTCTATTCGATTTTCATACTGCCGTACTCTAACGGAACTATTTACCTACCTTCTTCTAAGACCATTCTCTAGGGGCATGAAGTAGTTCGCCTCCTCGTGGTGTGCCCTGGAAACGTTAATTATCGAACCCAAGGGAGAGATATTGCGGCTAAACGAACTACAGCAGAGTAAGGACGCTGGAGCCCCATCCAGCTCGTCCCAGGAGGTCGATAAGCCTTGCACAAACCCTCGTTGTGCAAAGGCAGGAGTGACACCGGGTTCTTAGAGTGCTAAGCCCACACAGCTGGTAACCGGTCACATCTGACAGTGTTCTGGCTATCACGTCTGCTCTAGAACTCAGGCGAACAATTAACAGCGAACAATAAGAGGAAGGCCCTGCACAGCTGCTCACTGTGCAGTAGCAAGTGTCACGTCTGTGACGCACCACTAGTGTGATGCGCCATAGCGCAACCGGCTACCTCCAATGATGCAATGCTTTCGGGCGGTTCCGGGGAGGGCATGGGCCAAGAGCACAGGGTAAGGTTTAGTGGGTCGGGAGCGCTACTTCTCCCATCCCCACACCCTGAGTTATCTTCTCAGGTGTCTGGGAGCAGATTTCCCCCTGTATAAAAAAAGACCATTCTCTAGCTAATTGATTATCACACTAAAGCTTCTAGTTAGATAGCATTTCCAACCAACTCTGATGTTTTTAATGTTGACTATTTGGGAGGCGCTGTTCATTATAAAATATATAATTTCGAACTATCATTGATACAGAATGAATCCCCATCTCTATAATTTGATAGTTTCACTCTTAGATGAAAACAATCGGAGGTTTCTATCTCTCCTTTCCCTCATTGAAACTATATCATTTTTTCTATCATGATAGATGGGATAGGGTTTTTAACATGATAGACTGAGAGATAATCTATCAAATAGAAACTTACCGCTGGGATAGGCCTCTATCTGACAGATGATATTATTACCATTTCTCAGATAATTTTGATGCCTGTGAACGGACACCATACGGTACGTTGTTCAGGTGGAGTCCACTTACCTTATGAGGAAAGATTTGTTGAAATTGCTGCAGCTGGCGTATCGGATAAATTCAGTATTTTTACATATTACTCAATGTATTTACAACTTAACGTATGACCTTAGTAGCAAATATTTGTGTAACGATTAGCTCATTAAATGAAGGTTAACAATTTTGATCGTATAGGTCGAAATAGCTTTGTGCACTTTTTTTTTTTTTTTGACTAGTTGATATCAATTCACTTAAATTTGTTTTTACTCAATTGCCTACATAAGCTTCAATCACGAATTGATTACTCTAAATAGCACTAGAAGCATCACCATTGAAAACGTCACCAGGTGCAATCGTATCGCGAAAGCAGCGGATTTCTCCGCACTCAATATCCGATCCCGGAACGTCTTTTGTCGACTGACTTTCGTTTCGACGCTGTTTGGATACGTTTCGCCCAGAAATATCGTCGGCGGTTCATCCATGATTGTGATTTTACCTGCTCGAAGTGATAAAAAAAACGTTAATCTTTAAGACATTGATCATTTCGTTTATGAGTGCTACTTAGTTTCCTCTGAACTCGGACTCTCCTCTCGGAAATCCCGACCGTATTTTTGGCCACACAGGTGTAGTTTCCAAAGTCACTGTCCTTCAGCAGGTGAATCTGAATCTGCATTTTCACACTGTAGCTGCTGTCGGCGAATTGTTTTTCCTCCATGATACCTGCCGACGAAATGGAAAATGTCTCAATCACACACCTCAAACACACCTGAATGCATCAATTAGCCATACCGGGAAGGATGGTTTCCGAGTTGCCCTTCATCCAATAGGTTATGGGATCCGGGTGGGCCTCGACGAAGCATTCCAGCAAAACGCGTTGCCCTATTTCGGCGGTAAACTGCTCGCTTGGCACCCTCACTATCGGCGTGACTGTGTGTATGTTCACGGGGACATAAAAAACGATTCATAATTAGTGCTGCTCTGTTTTCGGGGGCAATTTCGGGATCCACCCCGCTCCCATTCTTACTTTCACTTTGGCACAATACTTACAATCGACCGTCACCATGATCCGTTTGCTCACGATTGGCGACACACCATTCGACGCTATGCAATGGTACGCACCGGCATTGTGGCGCTGAATGTTGTAGATATTCAAAACAGACCCGTCGTGGGTGGCGTTTGCTTTGAGGGGGAGAAGGGGGGGGGGACCAGAAAAAAAGTTTATCGCTAATAAATTCATCGCAATGGACTAATTAAGGGAACAATCGTAAGTCTGTGAATGTGTGTGTGTGTGTGGGGTGAGAAGGGAAGGAACGGGTTGGATAGACTTACTTCCCAAGTGTTCCACAGCACTGAGGGCCCTTTCGTTGCCGGAACGCTTCCACACGATGGACGGATCTGGAACGCCCGTCGCAACGCAGGTCAGGGTGATGTTGCTGCGCTCGGTGACTGTCATGTCCTGGCTGGTTTGGTCGTCAATAATGTCTGGTGGGACTGTGGGTGCGGGGGGAGAATTTTTAAACATTAATTTCATAGATGTCTTAAGCTACAAGAAGCGGCAGAAAAATACTTGGAATGCCATCGGAAATTCATGTAAAAGGGAATTCGCTTTCAGATTCCCGGTTGGGATTGTACCTGGGGAACTAAATTAAATTTCGAGCCCTTACATGGCTGTAATGAAAGTGGAAATGTTGAGTGACCAAACTCAATGTGACTTGACTAGGGACCTACTTTTGCTGCTTGCTCAGTGGCAACAAGAATACCTAACCAGGCAGACAGCAATGGTGTAACGTCTTGCGGCATTTCCCTTTCCATTTCTCTTTGGTGGCGTTTTCTCTGACGGCATCATCTAATTACTAATAATCATTAATTTAATTCTGGTTTTATGGCTAGCTCCACCACGTTACATTGAAATCGAATTTGATATTCAGCTAAGATTTTGTATCGTTTTTCTGGACACTATTCCATGCAAACCTGACTTCACTTATTTACATCATAGCCTATTGAAGTTTTTTGCACGTTCAAATAGATCAAAAGTAGTAGTAGTAGTAGTAGTAGTAGTAGTAGTAGTAGTAGTAGTAGTAGTAGTAGTAGTAGTATATCATCAAAAATAGCAGGTGAACATCAATCTGTTAATCACCACCCCAAAGCACAAACCAAGGAGACCGATAAATGTCATGCCAGACCTCTTCATCCCATCTCCAAAAAGGAGTTCATAATTAGAGACGCAATGAAGAGGGTGAAAGTGCTGCCACACTGCTGCTGCCGTGGGTAACCATTACTGTGGTTACCACGGTGGAAATTCCGCACGTAGTATGTGTTTACACTGTAAATTTAAAACGACACATCTGCGGTTATTGAATAAGTTTTAAACGTTCTAAGCTGAGTGATGTGAAGTAATTTTTTTTTTCAAAGAGGGCAGCGCTCTTCTTCCTTGTCTCTAATGCTGGTGCTGCTCGGGTTTAGAAAGGTATGCAGTGAATTTAGAAGAACTAAAATTCCGGAAATTCAACGCGTGACACTGACAACATTTAACAAAATTGGCCAATAGATTCCTATTCTTCTATCAGGCTATCAACATATTTGTAGTGCACTTCACTCTTTGTCAAACTCTTATTTTTTAATCGAATCTGCTAATCGTGGCTCTTCCATTGTTTGTTTACGTTCGTAAATTTATGAAATAGAGTGAAAAAGCATAATTAAACCCTTTTTTGAAAAAAAAAAAAAACTACAAGGGACAGGAGCTGAGCTCGGACCCGGTGGTGGCCGAAGTAGATTCGCGGTTAATAGATTTCAAGCATCCCGGCGAAACTACCATCGTGTTGAATGGAATCGGTTCCAGCACTGTGTCGACACCGCCGTCGACTACGAAGTAAATCCGGACGCCCCCGAAGACGTTGACCGATGCCTGCTTTCCTTGGAGGAGGTGATATCACGAGCCAGGGAACAACACGTGCCAGTATCTAGACAGGTGATCAATACTCTGAACCTTGATAGTCCCACTAAAAACTTTATCAGACTCCGTAACACCATGCGTAGGCAGTACCAACGTACTGAACTGCCTGCCTTAAAGACTCATTGCAACCGTCTAACAAAAATAATCCAAGCCAGGATGATGGATCTCAGAAATGAGGACTTTAGTAAAAAAAATGAGCTCTCTCCCAGATTGTGCAAAGCCCTTCTGGAAGCTAACTAAAATCCTTAAAAATAAGCCAAGACCCATTCCCCCACTTGTGCCGTTGAATCAACCCAATGATTCAGTTGCTCATCTGATAACCCCTGAAGAGAAGGCTGATGCTATAGGTCAACATTTCGTCAGCTCGCATAATCTCGGACTGAACACGCCTAGTCCATACGATATTGCAGTTGCGGTAAATGCAACCAACCTCCAATTCCTAACAACTTTCCTGTGGAATCTGTGACTACGGCAGACGAACTGTTGGCCTATACCAAATTATCTAAAAATATGAAGGCCCCAGGCTTCGACCAAATCCTGAATCTGGAAATCAAACACCTGAGTTTTAGATTCTTCAACCATCTGGCACTGATTTTTAATCAGTGCCTAAGATTTGGCTACTTCCCCTCGTGCTGGAAGTCAGCTTAAGTTCGGAAACCTGGGAAAGATCGATCCTCTCCTTCAAGTTACCGACCCATCAGCCTTCTCTCAGGGTTATCCAAGCTGTTCGAAAGAGCAGACCACCGTCGACTCCTGGCATCTGCCGAAGAAAACAACGTATTGCTCGAGGAGCAGTTTGGCTTCCGTAAAGGTCGTTCGACTGTTAACCAGCTCACTCGAGTAACAAACATTCTCAGACGGAACAAGTCTGTATCTAAAACATCTGCCATGGCATTGTTGGACGTTGAAAAATCGTTCGACAATGTTTGGCATGATGGCCTGGTCTACAAATTGCAGCGATACGGTCTTCCAATCTGCCTAGTGAAAATAATTAAAAACTACCTTTCGGAAAGGACATTCAGAGTCGCTCTCAATGGCATCACATCAGATGCTTTCCACATTGGTGCGGGTGTCCCACAGGGAAGCATCCTTGGCCCCATTCTATTCAACCTGTTCACCACCGATATGGCGGCTCTCCCTAAAGGTTGATCGCTGTCTCTGTTTGCAGATGACACATGCATCATCTTTAAGGGTAGGGTCATCAGAGCTCTGACCGCCAAGCTTCAGAGAGGCCTAAATGTCCTGTCAGAATACTTCAACAGCTGGAAGATCCGTATCAACGTGGCAAAGACCCAGGTCATCTTTTTCCTCATTCCAAATCACTCAGACTTGTTCCGTCTGAGAATAATAACATCAAATTGAACGGCACAATGGTGGAATGGCCAAAAGAGATAGTATACCAAGGCCTTACACTCGACAGCAAGCTGCTTTTCAGGGAACACATTGACAAAACAAAAACCAAATGTAACATCCTGATGAGATCCTTATATCCACTCATCAACAGGCGATCCACTCTGTCCCTGAAAAACAAGCTTGTTGTCTATAAGCAAATAATCCTTCCTGTAATAGAATACAGGGTGCCAATCTGGGAGTGTTGCGCCAAATGCCATCACCTCAAATTACAAAGGATCAACAGTCTTCCACGAATGAGGAACTCTGAGGTCCACCGCCTGGCTGGAGTTATGGAGAACAGCTACCATGCAAAGGTTCAGAGATTGCTGTAGGCAATCCGATCAGCTGATCATTAGGAATCTGGCACGTTAGGTTAAGCTTTAGATTAAGTAGGTAGCTTATCAAATTTTTAAATTCAATCAAAACACCCTCCCCAAGGGGTATTCTGCAAACTAGTCGAAAACGCAAATATTAAATTAGAACAGCAAATGAAAAAAGATGAAGAGCCAGGTAGGCTAATCAATTAAAATGTTCAATCATAATCAACAGAAGCAAACATAATTTTACTACTACTGCGCTAAATCAAACGAGTAGAAATTCGGAAATTCGGAAATTCGAATAGCTGGAAAAATCTCGAATAATTGGACTTTTAGGCATCCCTAGAAAATAGAGTAATTTCATGTTTTTTGGTGGTCCTTCAAAAATATTGAACAGCAGAATTGCAATCAGCAAGTGGGACCCAAGAACCAAAAGTGGTGCGATGCTAGTTTTCATTGCTATGACGACGACTGAATTAAGAGGCTTAGAAGCAGAGGGGTGTAGCAGCGCCAGTAGTGTAGTGGTTAGTGTGTTTATCTCTCACCCCAGCTGGCCTGGGTTCAATCCCAGTTGGCGACGCCAGGATGTTCTGAGGCATAACAACTCTAATCACGCCTTCCTTCGGAATGGAAGTAAAGCCGTTGGTCCCCGGTTCATGAGTTGATGGGTTGATATGTAGGGTCCAGGTGTGGGAGCTGCCTCCCTGACGTCGGTAGCATTGGTGCTCAGCACGGAAAACAAGATCGACGGAAAAAAAGCAGAGGGGTGAAAGTCAATACTCCTTATCGATTTCCTATTTTTAAGGCCATGGCTTCACTAACCTATTCCGCACTATTTCTGCTATGCTCTTCTATCATCCAGAACAACAAACGTATCAATGAATGTGTTTGCCGTCGAGTTATTAACGAAACAGAAAGTCGATGAAGAGAATCGATCAAAATAACTTGCACCCCTGCTTCCAAGTTTGGTTACAAGATAACAACTCTGAAGAGTATTTTGTGTGGACGTTGGTGGCGTGTGGTTCTGAATATGGCGATGAGTGTGCAAAATGTTACGCAATTTCATCGCCCCTATTCGCACACGCCCGAAGATCGAAGGCGAATGTCACTTCGACTTGTTTCGTATACTAACGACTCTCTGATGACAGTGTTGGGGAAGCAGCAATGCTGCATCGACATGATTCGTCTAGAAATGATTATCTGATGGCTGTGTTTGGGGAAGCAAAATATGCATGTACGTAATTGGTGGATTTGTTAGTTATTTCGACGCTTTTGGATAATGCTTGAAATTTACTACTTTTTAAATAGTTTCTTGTTGGAAATCAACAGTCAAAAGCACTGTTATCGATGCGTAGAAATATTTCTGATCGATTGTTGATAAAATAATTAAAATTGTTTCAAGGGGCAGCTGAGTTATTACGGTCAAAATCTCTCATAATTGCGTTACATGTTCCATTATCGGTTTTCATAAAGTGCTCTCCCATATAGAAATCACAGACGTAGCCCTACGTCAAAAATTTAAAGCAATAATGTTGCTCGGTTGGGAAATCCTGCTCTAGAATTCATTTTTATTTTCTATAGAAACACACTTGTTCTTGGTTATCCCTTTTGGAATTCTCTAGAATGGCTCTTTTGTTCTCTAGATTAACTCAGGTGGTTCACCGAACTATGGGATTGATTGGTTGCTTTTGGTTAGTGATATTTGGCAATCTCGCTTGGAATCCTGTAGAACCACAATGGAGATTCATTTCTTGAATTAGTATTGAAATTAACGAGAGTCCATCGTAAGGCTTTTGAGTACCTTTTTTTGAAAACATTAAAAAACCTCC